AGTGAGACTCCAACTCAAAAAAAAAAAAAAAAAAAGGAATTTCAGAAAAGGGCCAGAAGAGGGGGTGGGAAGGGGACTATGGAGCCCATGTGCCCAACTGCAGTCTCCCCACTGGCCAAGTTGCCCTCCCAGGCGGTGGAGCGACAGGGCCCAAACCCCGGCCCCCCCACTGGCCATGCAGTGACCGCCTTCCTCTGCCCCCAGGCCTTCCTGTGCTTTGCGCTGGCCTTCTGTGCCCTGGTGCAGGTGCTCTTCTGGAAATTCCACAACCCCACCCAGGTGAGCACCAACTGCACCCTACCCTCAGCCTGCAGGGGGGTCCCAGGGTGGGAGGACGGGGTGTGTATGTGTGTGTGAAGGTCGCCCAGGCTCCATGCTCCTGCTGGGCGGGAGGGACACCCCCACCTGGGGACATTCTCTGCTCAGGTGTTGGTGGTGGCCGGGCGTGCAGAGGCCAGAGCCTGCTGGCGGGCAAGGGGGCAGCTCCCTAGGGAGGGTCAGAGCCACCAGCTTTTCTTCCTGTGGGAAAGAGAGGTCTTAGCTTGGCCCGAGAGATTGATTGGCGGGGATAGAATGTTCCAGAAAACTCACGAAGAGAGACCAGGCTCCCATGGCCTGGTGGGCCCGGTGACGCCATGTGGGAGCCATCAGCAACCATTCTTTCCTCCTGGACACTGACCTCTCTGTAGAAGGGGCCCACCCTGGTGACCCCTCAGGGCAGGGTCAGAGGGTGTCGCTGAAAGACTGGCGGCCTTCCTCGTTCCCGCCAGAGCCCAGACCCAGGCAGGGGCCCTGGGACAGCCTGGGAGGCCCAGGGGAGGGCCGCCGGCAGTGTCAGAGCACCGAGGAGCCCCATGGACAACAGCAGATGACTTCTTGGGGTGCCGGTGGCCCCAAACGTCTGGCTGCCCAGCCCCCCCTCGCCCCACACGGGCGCAGAGGCCGGCAGACAGCAGCTGGGTCGGGCATCCGGGCCTGGCCCTCCGGCCGAGCCCTGCTGTGTGTTTTTGCGCTGGCACCGAGGTGAGCTGGGCACCAGGACGCTGGCAGGCCTGAGTGCGGTGGTCACCCCTTGGTTTGCAGATGGAGGGACTTGGGCCCTGGGGGACGGTGCCAGGGCTGGAGGGTTCTCTGTCTGAAGTCGCCATCTCGTCCGTCCTCCCTGCCCAAGGCTGGCCCCCTGCACGCATTCACCCCCCCCACCATCATTTGGGGTCACTCACCGGAAAGCGGTGAGAAGACACCATTTCCTCTGGCCCAGTGGTATCCGGGACGGGGTCAGGTCCCCACCAGGTGACTGGCTGTGGGTCTGGTCCAGCAGTCCTGCAGGGAGACGGTGGGCTGGGTCAGCTTGTCAGCCTCATGTTTCCTGTCTACCGAGGGGCAGTCTGGCCCATTCAAGGTCGGGGTCATAGCATGGGTGGCCAGGGCCAAGTCGGCTGCCAGGGTGCCCAGGCTCGTCTGGGGCGGCCGTAGTCCAGGTATACAGCGCTGGGCCCAGGCCTCATGGTTCTGGAGGGGTTTGGGTCGTGCCGGGACGGAATCCAGCTGGGGCCTGCTCTCTGGTGGCTCCCAGCCGGGCCACTTCCCCAGCCTGTCCCAGCCCCACGGCCCATCCCCGACCCAAACTGTCCTCGCCTGGCCTGAGCTCCCGTGTGGCCTTCAGGGGTTAGTTCCCAGGGCCCTGCCTGACCCCAGGACGGAAGAGGTTCCCTGGCCCCGTGGGCCCCGTCTGTCCCTCCCAGAGGCTGTTGACTCCTAGCACGGTCTGTCAGGCCAGCTGGGCATGGAGGTGGCCTGGGCAGAGGGGCTTTGATTTAAGTGAGGCTCTCGGAGGGCCCTCGGGCAAGCCACTGAAGCTCCCTGGGCCTCGGCTGTCCCTGAAAGGAATGCCAAGATCCCTGCCCGCGGGGCTTCTGCAGGGCGGGAAGGAGCCAGAGCGTGGGGAGACGTGGCCAGACACCACGTGTCCAGTCGGTCTTCCGTCACGTGGGACCAGTCCAGAGCTGTCCTGTGCTGACAGACCGGGTGGGGCTGGCCCCAGGATACTGGCCCCGCAGGAGGGGCTGCTGCGTCTCACCCCACCCTCCGCCATCAGATCCCACCAGAGCCAAATGGGTTTCAACCTGAACACCCGTCCTGGGGTAGCCCAGCTGTGACAAAGGCCACCGGGACCAAACTGAGGGGACCTGGGATCCAGAGCCTGGGACCCGGCCAGGCAGGTTCACCCCCATGCCCTCTGCACCCCACTCCCTGAGGGACCCCCTAAGATATCCTGACACACAGGGTCCCGGGAAGAGGCAAGGGACTGGACACGCTCCCTCAACCAGGAGGAGTAAGAGAGATGCCCCTGTCCCTCCCCGGGGCGTCCCTGCTCACAGGGTTTCCCAGCTGCCACCATCCCGGGATGCTTGGCTGGGAGGTGAGGCCAGGCCACCCAGGCCGAGCACGAAGCTCGAGGACTATTAATTACGCTGTCCCGGAGACCCAAGAGCCACTTTGCCGCAAGCGCCCGCCGCTCCCTCAAGTCTGTACGTCGGGAAATGGATGGCCTGGCTCTCCTTAATAATTCATGCTGGGATTAAGTACAGCCGTATGGGGAGTGGCAGGATGTGGTGTGTCCCCACAGTTCTTTGCGATCAGCCCTGGCCCCTGGAGGCCACCTCCCTCCCGGGGTCCTCTGGCCGCCGTGAGGGCCCGGCCCAGAGCCGGCGCTCGACCTTTGGGGCTGACCGCTGACCCCTTGCAGTGCCCGCAGTGTCCCTCACTGGTGCCCCAGGGCCCCGCTCTGGCATCTGAGCTGGCCCGTTCTGCAGGTACAGGGTGGAGGTCGCCAAGCCCGGGATGAGCTGGTCGTAGGGACTCCCCAGAGCTCGGGCTTTGGCCCGTGTAGGAGCCTGTGATGTGCTTCCAGCACCCCGGGAGCCTCTCACCAGCCCTGTTCTCCAGTCCTGGCCCCAGGGGCGGGGCTCAGCGCCCCAGCCCCCAGCAGGGAGCCCCCAGCCCAGTCCCCGTGTCCTTGTGAGAAACTCAGGCCTCGGGCTCCCACGGAGACCCCCGAATCTGGACATGGGGGCAGACAGAGAAGCGTCACCTAGCAGCCCAGGCCCAGGGGGGCGGGTCCAGCTGGGGCCCCCAGGCCTCCCATGTCAAGCTGTGGGGTTCAGGCAGGAGCTCATTCTGTGAGCTCTGCTTCCTGGGTTGTGGGGGAACACCCGGCACAAACACAGAGCAGACCCCTCTGCTTCTCCCGTCGATGCTGCAGGAATGACCAGGACCTGCACAGAGCCCTGGAGGCGCTCAGGGCTTCCCTGGGCCGTGGAAGGGGTTGAGGGGGCGCCAGGAGGGGTGATCCCCAGGCCAGTGGCGCCAGGCCCCCTGCCTCTACCTGGACCTCCTCCCATGGGGACACAATGTCCATTTCACAGTCAAGGACACGGAGGCTGAGCGAGGGGCCCAGGCCGGACCTGAGAGCAGCGTGGTCAGCTTGGTGCCTGCGGTCTGGGTGCTGCGCACCTCCCAAGGCTGGGGAGGACGAGGCCGTCTGAGCTGGGGATGACGCACGGAAGGACGTCTGACTCCTGTCAGCCATTGAGGGGGCGGGACTCTTTGGTGCCAGGAGCCGAGTCTGGCCCGGACGGTCCATCTGGCTCCTCTCAGGGCGTCTGGGCTTGGGCGGGGCTGGCTGAGAGCCCTGCAGGCCGCCGACAGGGCCTGCCGCGGGGCCTGGGCCACACGATGAGGGCCAGGGATGGCCGCCCTTCCCTTCTGAAGGCCAGGCGTAAGTGGCTGGGGAGGCCTGGGTCTTCCATTCACCCCAGCCTCAGGGCAGCCCCTGAGCACACCTGAGTATGCCCCAGCTGTCCCCATGACACAAGGGAGGAGGCAGGGAGGCCTCAGGGCCTCTGAAGCAGGAAGGAGGCACCAGAGGGTGGGGAGCTCAAAAGGGGCCCTGCCCTGCGCCAGGAAACCAGTGACTCCCGGAGCAGTCCAGGCAGGCTTCCTGGAGGAGGCGCGATTCCAGTCTGTGTCAGGAAGAGGTGTGACTTGGCAAAGGAGGACATACTGGTTGGAGCTTGGCAAAGTCAAGGGAGGGCAGGGACGTGCGGTCCAGGGGACATCGGGATGCGGAGCTAAGGTAGCCTCCAACCAGGCCCTGCACCACCCTCCTTCCCATTCCCCTCCCCCGCGGCTTTGGCCACCGAGATCTGGCGCCAGGTGCCCAAAGGTCAAAGTCTCTGCTGCGAGCCCAGCCGGCTGGGCTTCCAGAAGGCGGTAGGGTGGTTCTAGGGAGACACCTTGGGCGCCCCCGGTTTTGGAGGGCACTGAGGTCCCAAGGCTTCTCTGCCCGGCCCGGCCGCATCGCCCGTTTCCAGGTCAATAGTAGCTGGGCGGCATCCCTCGGGCAGCCCCTGCCGGGCACCCCTGTCAGGCAGCCCCTGCCAGCCACAGCTGGGCAGGCAGCAGAGCTAGGTGGCCACGGCCCCCCTGCTCTGGGGAGCAGGAGGATCACCCTGGCCTCCCCTGTGGGGAGAGACCTATGCACCAGCCTCCAGCCTCCGTCGCATGGAGGGGGCTTCACCGGGCCTCCCTCAGGGCGGCCTCCCCACAGTGCTCTCCCTGCAGGTGGAGGACGCCATGCTGGACACCTATGACCTGGTGTACGACCAGGCGGTGAGGACCGCCTCCCACGTCCGTCGGCAGGAGCTGGCGGCCATCCAGGACATGGTGCGCGTGGGGTGGCGGGGCGGGCAGCCTCGCCGTGTGGACTGGGTCCAGAGAATGGGCGCAGGGCGGCCCCTAGAGCGAGCGGTTCCGAGGGGGATCCGGGGACACAGGTCACGACTGGGCCCTCAGAGCGGGGGGTCAAAGCATCCCTGTCCTCTCCCTCTGCCCCGGACAGAGCCGGCTACCGGACGCTCTCGGGGCCCCATGCAAAGTGAAAAGGTGGGACCTCTCGTTCAAAAATGGTGGAGCATTTCGGGGCACTGAGCAAACAGGGTCCTTGTGTGCAGCCCAGGAGCCAGCCTCGTGCATCAAGCATTCCATCCTTTGCCCGCCGGCAGGCAGCTGGAGCACAGACCCCCGAGACCCCATCCTTCCTCAGGAAGAGTCCCCGGCCGGGCAGGGTGCACGGGCCACTCCCCTCACCATGGCCCGGTTGCCCGGCAGCTGGTGCCCCAGCAGAAGTACCTGCAACCCCCTGAGCCCCAGTCCTGGCCTCTAGGGGGCCCTGCCAAGGTCATTTGTTCTTATGGTGCCTCAGTTTCCCCATCTGCCCTGCGCGCCTCCCTGGGGTCTCGGGAGCAAATGGCCACTCCCTCCCGTCTGTCCTTGCAGTTTCTGTGCTGTGGGAAGAGCTCTCCCTTCAGCCGCCTGGGGGGTGCGGAAGCTGGCCTATGTCAAGGAGAAGACGCCAAGAGAGAGGTAGGGGGAGTGGCCTGGACGCTGACCAGGCAAGACCCTGGGTGCCGGGCACCTGGGGCCAACCCCGAGACCCAGGGTCACCCTCCCACCCCTCGGCCTTCCTGGGCCCGGGATCTGCCCGTCGAAGGGCTCAGGGAAGGTTCTGGGGAGATTCCGGAAGAGGCAACGGTGCACGCAGCCTGGGGGACGGGGGGCTGGGCTCAGCAAGCTTGACCCGGACCACGGGCCAGACCCTTCTCCAAGCTGGACGCAGGCACCATATCCCGTTCACTCCTTCCTGCAAGTCCCAGCTTGGGGCCTCCCAGACCCAAGGAGAGCCCGCCCTGCGGAAGACTCTAAAAGCACTCAGACCAGGTCTCTGTGCCAAGGGCCCGTGGAGCAGGGGGCTGGCCAACTCTGTCTGGGGTGGGGGAGCAGAAGCCGGCGGAGAGGGCACCCCTGAAGCCCCGAGGCTGCAGGGTCAGCCTGGGCCTGGGTGTGGCTGCAGCTTTGGTGAGGCTGGGTGGGACCAGAGGCCCGGATGTCCTTCCTCCACAAGGCCAGAGAGGACTCAGCCCTCCCCTCCCTTCTCTCGGCCGCTGGCCCGGTCCCCTCCCTGCTCCCCTCCCCCTGCCGCCTGGAAACAAACCCACCCTATCTGGAGGCGAGAGGCGCCTGGCCGGCCTCCAGGAAACAGACCGGAGGACACATGGCTGGAGGCCCACAAGGGGTGGAGCCCTCAGGGAGGGTCGAGGACCAGGGAGGAGACAAGCCCGGGTGGGGCTGAGAGTCGCAGACCCCCTGCCACCCAAGGGGCGTGCTCAAAACAGGAGTGAGGGGCTTCCTGGGGCTCCCCTGGGCAGGCAGGGGTGATAGCCCACCGTGAAGGCCCCCCGGAGAACTGGCAGGTCCAGCACACGCGGAGGCAGGGGTGGGCACGGCAGGAGGGTGGTGAGCCACAGTGTGCCCCTGGGCGCTGCCACCATCTTTGGGGTTCAGGGGTGGCCCCTCCCTCCTTCTCCTGGAGAGAGCACCTCTGTGGATGCTATGTCCTGGGGGGCACTGGAAGCCCAGGATAGAGCCAGCACCCTGGGACAGTGCAGGGACTCCCACACTCCTCTGCCAGCTGGCTTCTCTGCCCCCCAGCTAGCGGGCACCCTCGGGTCACTGAGGCATTGTGGCCAGGCCTGGGCTGGGGGCCAATGGACCCAGAGGGAGTCAGGCCCGGCCCTGCCTGGGAAGCCGATGTGTGAGTGGCCCAGGAGCTCAGGACAGTGGGAGGGAGCTGCCCATGGTCCCCACAGAGGCCAGCTCCATGCCACGGGGTTATTGGCCCAGTTGTGCCACTGTTTCCCCCAAGCCCTGCAGGGTGCTCCCTGGGAACGGGCAGCCCCCCGTCTCCCCACCGCCTGGCATTGGCCTGAGTGCTGTGGTTCCGTAACTCCTGGTGGGGAAGGCCGGTGGGGAGGGTGCCATGCCTGCCGCCCTCCCCCAGGACTGCCTGCAGGGCCTCCCAAGCTACCTACGGACACAGCAGCACGTGGCGTCCACCCTGACCAGCGTCGGCCTGGCTCTCACGGTACCCCGGCCCTCCTGTGACGCCCCCTCCCGCCTCTCCCCTCCGCCAGCCTTGGCCCCCATGCAGCTGGAGGGGCGGGACTGGACAGCCCCCAGGTCCCAGCCCACAGCAGATCTCTGGTCGTGGACCGCACCAGCTGCCGATCCTGGGGCGTGGCCTGGGGGTGACTGTGTCAGCCTCCCACGGCTGGGCTCTTCCCTGGGCTGCAGGGTGCTTGCTGGGGAGGCAGTGGGCTCCCACCCCGGAGCTGCTGGACCAGCTGCCGGTGCCCCTGTGTCCCCCAGGCATACGCCCTGCTTCTCAGTGCCTTCCTCTGGCTCGCCATCCGTTCTGGCCGCAGCTTGGACCGCAGAGGCAAATACGCGCTGGCCCCCCGGTAGGCCCCCACCCTCTCCCAACATCCTCCTCACCCCCGAGGGCATCGGCTGCTCCCACCCGGGGGGTCTGCTCTGTCTGCAGAAGGGACCCCTGGACCACAGCCTAAGGTCGGCGCCCTTGGGGAAGTGCCTTGGAGGGTCTGGCACCACGGTGGGAGGGGAAAGGCAGCTGGAGAGTGGCCAGACTAGCACGCCCCGTATCCCCCAGTCACATCAGGCCCCTCCCCACCACTGCTCCAAATCCCTGCCAAGGCCTGGCCTCACGAAGGCCACCACAGATACCGATAGGGGGAGACTGGGCTTCTGGCGTCCCCAAACCACAGCCCCAGGCCAGGATCTCGACTCTCTGGGACCCCCAGGGCCCCTATGCTTAGGGAGCAGAGAGGACCCGAATGGGCAGCCAGGAAGCTCCTCCTGTCCCCTTGGTGCTCGGGCCATCCTTGCCTGCCGTCTCCATTCACCCCCCTACTCACTGTAGTCAAGCCATCCAGCCCCCCTCCCTGCCCAGGCATCCTGCCTCTCCCCTCTGCACTCTACAACGGCCTTACAGTTCCCTCTAGAACATTCTGGAACAGCCTTATGGGCTCCTCTTGAACATTCTAGAACAGACTCACAGTCCCTTCTAGAATGTTCTGGAGTGGTCTCATTATCCCCTGCAGAACATTCTGGAACAGCCTCATAGTTCCTTCTAAAACATTCTTTTTTTTTTTTTTTTTTGAGTCGGAGTCTCAC